TGCCAGAAACCGTGAGTCCCGGTCATTTCCTCCCAGTTGCTGTAGACAGGAATTTGGGGCAGCTTAGGGCCGGTCCGAGGACGTGGTCAGAGTGTCGGCTGGGCTGACATGACTTGGTGGCCCGGATGACTCACTTCTAAGGGTCCCCACCCACGCGGGGCTGGCAGCGCCGGCCACTGGTGCGAGGCCTCGGCTCGTCACCGCGCTGACCCTTCCACGACGCTGCTTGAGGGTCCTCACAGGATGGCCGCGTCCTCCAGAGCAAGTGATCTGAGAGAGCAGGAGGGAAGCTGGCTCGCAGGGTCTCATTGGCCCCGTTACCCACAGTAGGGCCCACGCAAGGGCAGGAGTGCCAGGTCGCAGGGTCGCCAGGCCCTGCCAGCACGAAGTCGGGCAGTCCTCGCAGTGGCGCGTGCGGCCTCTTCAGCCCTGTGCTGCCGTCCAGCCACGCCGGGGCATGGACGCGGAGTCTCCGGGACCGCGCGCTGCACTGCGTCTTGGGAGAGGCTCCCTGCCCGAAGCGATGTGTTTAAAGCTGCCTCAGCGCAGTCTTTTTCATGGCCAGAAGGCGGACCAACTTTGGTGCGGGCAGCCACGTGTCCCTTCAGGACACGGGGTCCCTGGACGACGAAGACGAGCAGTTCAAGAGCCAGTGCTCAGGGGCCGATGCCGCGAGAAGCGCATGGATTGGTGAGCGAGGTGTCTCGTGGCCCCGGGGCCGCTCCCTCCTCAAGGCGCTGCATTCCGGAGGGGCCAGAGGGGGCTGGGTGCTGATTGCTCCTGCACCTTGGGGAGGTCACGGAGCTGGTCACACTTGCCACCTGCAGGCGCCCCACCCCACTGCTCTCTGCTGCTCCTGCACCTCCACCCCTGTAACCAGGCCCCCTGCCCGAGGGCGTCAGGTGGAGGAGCACAGCAGGGACAGTTGACAAACGGCCACGGGTGGCAAGGCTGGCAGGCCTATGCCGGGGAGTCGCTCTCAGAACCAGGACGCAGGAAGATGCAGGAGAGACTCCGGCGCTGGCCGCGGTGCCAGCTGCAGGCTGTCGGTCTGACCGCTGGGTCTCAGCGCCTGCATATCAGGACCGCGTAGGAGCATTTAACGAGACAAGAAAATGTGCGTAATTGAAATGTTAATTGAAAACAGTTTGTTAAATTGATAATTTGGATGAAAAATTATGTTAATTAATTATCACACAATTAGATAAAAGTAATTTTAATCAAAAATTACCAAAAGTGGTAAAGAGGGGCGATCCCAACTACGTGAAAAGCACACACGCGCACATCCGCGTACTCGCTCATGGCGAAAGGCCAGTACAGGAAAGCGAGGGTTAATGACGGCTGCCTCTTCTGGCGAGCTTACTGTTATTTTTCTTTTGTCTCTAATCCTTTACCTTTCTGTATCGTCTACACTTTCTCAAAGGAATTCTCTTTAGAAGAGCTCACATGTCCTGTGGCAGTGAAAAGAGCAGTAATAGTGGGGGTCAGCTCCGCGGCCTAGCAGTTAAGGGAACTGGACCCTATGCAGCTGACGGTGGTTTGAATCTCCCCCAGCAGCTTACACCGTGTGTGAGCGCTTGTGCCCCGAGTCCTGACAGGACGGAGAAGTGGGGAGGAGGAATGAGCCCAGGGCCAGAGGGGGCTCCTAGCTTGTACTGAACTGTACTCACTGCTTTCTCCTCCTCTCTCTCTCGGCCTCTCTCCCTCTGTCTCTCTCTCACTCTCGGTCTCTCTACCCCATCTCTCTCTCTCTCCGTCTCTGTCCCCCTCCACCTCTCTCTCTCCATCTCTGTCCCCCTCCATCTCTCTCCCTCCGTCTCTGTCCCTCTCCATCTCTCTCTCTCTCTGTCACTGTCCCCCTCCATCTCTCTCTC